GACTCACCATAGGCCTTTGTTAATATTTCACACACTTTGTTACACTTTATTTGATTTTTTTCGCAAAATTTGATACATATTCTTTGATCCATTTCTTTTAACGAAAATCGCCGAGCTCATACAAACACGTCTAACCTTAGCGGTTGCTACAGACAAAGTAAACAATGAAAACAGCTAAAGTTTTTATCATGTTTCAGGGACATGTATACCAACATAATAAAGAAAATTTTATAACACACCTCGTATATTTACAGGAGCCAGAGCAAGGTTAGAGGCATGCCTCAGAACCAATAAGCAAGGACAAAATGCGGGCGGTAAATATTTAAATAATTAATATTAATTAATTATTAGTATTAATATTTAAATAATTTAATTATTTACATTGATTTTTCACTCAACTGCACTGTTTTTCATGACCATTTTAACACCAAATTAACACCATATATGGTCTATATCGATACAAACCAAAATGGTGTTAAATAGGGTTCGTTGGTCCGGTGTAAATTCAAATACTAAAATAGTGTTAATTTAACTTTCACACAGTATTAAAATAAATTTTACCTGGTGTAAATTGAACTCCTTTTCAGTGTTAAATATTATGCGTTTGTGGTCAAATTAAATCATACTACACAGAAAAAAGGAAAAAAAAGGAAACAGGAAGTTCCTTGACGCATTACTAGTATATTACCAGTGGTATTATTCCAGAAAATGGAACCTTCAACTCGCTAGAGATAATGTTTTTAGTTCGTTCCACTAACTTAAAATACTTCAAGTATTGACAGCTGTTTTCACCTATTTAAGGTCTAGTATCGAACAACTTGTAGTGTCACACCAAAGCAAAGGACTACCTGAGCTTATATATTCTTCATGTAAGTCAACAGAGGCGAGATTTAAGAACATCACGTGATCCACAAAAATATAAATACTTATGGGTCAACTCAATTAATATAGTTAAATGAACTATTCCTTTTTTCTGTGTAGGTGCACTTATCAAATATTTTTAGATAAACACCGTTTTGGTGTTCATTTTCAACCATAATTCATGGTGTTATGTTAACACCACTTGGTGTTGGATTTTGACACCATTTTAGGATTACTCTTTACACCACAGATATTTTAAACAGTGTGTATACAATCAATGCAATTTATTGAATAATTTATAATCTATGTAATTCAAATAATTAGTTTTTATATTAAAAAAAATATATTTAATATTTCTTTAATTCTGTATGGGGAACACGGTCTCACCTGTCTTTCCTGACAGACGGCCTCTTAGTTATGCAGATAGCATGTTACTTAAACATAATTTTGTGTAAATTAAGTTTTATTTGTTATGGTATGTAACTAAACTTAGGAAATATTTAACTAGTTGGTGTTAATACTAAAGTTAAATAAAGATTCTTTATCAACCATATTAAATTATAGCTTACCTATAGGTATAAAATCATAATAAAATCGATTTAATTAACTAACTAGCAGAATTGAATTTTTAATTTGGATTGGGACATTTTTACTAAATATAATAAAAATAATATAATAATAAATATCGCTTACTTTTTAGTAGGTACTACAGAACATTTCTTAATTTCTTTAAACTTGTGGGTTGGTCACTTTCGAAACATACATTTTTTTAATATGTATATATTTGTAGTGAGAAGTAAAAATGCACTTTAATACAAAAATATTCAACGATGCACTAATAAAACCTTTTTTATCATTCAAATAATGTTTTTGGTAAATAGGGAACTTGTTTTAGTGCTTATTACTTTTCTTATTTTCTAGCAATCAGAGTGCCTTTATATGGCCACATAAATTTAAAGCTACGCTTTATTGTACAATGTTGTACCATAATATATGGGAAATATACTACTACGTTCTCGTTTCATTAGAGCAATGAAGAAACTCTATCCGAAAGTATATTTTGCACGTATAGTATATTTTTATTAACCAAGCGTCCAAGTTACAGGAATTATTTACTGTTATTAGCCATGATATAATTAAATCCAAGTTTTATCTTTTTCTTTGGTGTTTTATTAAAAAATATAAAACCCAGAACAAACTCAGTATTTTCTAAAATTATTATAAAAGAAATTCATTGGACTTTTTGTTTTAGCTATTGTCGAACAAAAATGTTTTTAAAAACAAACCACTTCAACTAAACGTTTCTTAAATGAATCAATCGAAAATTGTTAAATTTATATTATTTCAAGAATGTTTTGTACTAAAAAACCATTTGCAAAAGGATTAAGATATCTTCTTCCTTGCCCATTTTCCTCTTTGGCCTTGTAAAAGCTTGATGCCCTCTGACACTCGGCCCTAATACTATTTACATCCTTATAAAAATGCCTTATTTCTTTTTTCCTATATTTTACTTACATAGTTTTATCTTTTCATTACTCACAAATAAATTGGATAATTAATGCAAGATCGGCCAGATACAAATTCCTGTTAATAGTAAGACACTATAATGTTTGGTGTTAAAATAAATCTAATAAAAGAAATTTTAAAACCATGGGATATTGGACGATCATTGGACATTTGTGCTTTCTCTTCTTTCTTAAATACCGAAACTACTAATTTTTGAAAGAAAGTATATACTAAACTGTCCAGACAGAGCAGCAAAAGAATTGGTGTACTATTGGTTTATAACCTGTTTATAAGTTTTGCGTACATAATTCGTAAGCTGAAGATCGCTACGAAGGCGTAGAAGGGCCAACAAAAATTTTATAAGTTTTAGCCAAAACAAACTTTGATTTTTGCAATTTCTATTCTATAATTGTAACTTGAACTTACAATTGTAACTTGAACTTACAATTGTAACTTGAACTTACAATTGTAGGTTCAAGTTACAATTGTAGGATAAACCTAAAGGTAAGTTTATTGTTTCTTCTCTCTATAGTATAACCAATTTAGTGCTTTTAATAGGTAGCTATGGAACAATATTTTAAAATGGGGCTTCGGCAAAAAGAAATATTATAATATTATTTAAAGGCAAGCATAACGTATTTATAAGCCCTATAACCTTAAAACGGCTTCTCTGCAGACTAGGGCTGCGATTATCAAAATTCATAATTGATTATTGATTATCTAAAATAATCGATTTTTTCGATTAATCGATTATTTGATTAATCGATTATTTGATTAATCGATTATTAATTAATCGATTATTTGATTAATCAAGTATTTGATTAATCGATAATATTATTAGTTAAAAAAAATGCATTTGACCATTATAAGTTGGGGGAGAAAAGAAATGTTCATGCAATTTAGATAAATAATATTAAAAAACATACCTACTCAGTTATGTTTTTTATTATTATTTATATATATATATATATATATATATATAAATTATGTAATAATATTATTTATATTAAAAAATACGTTTTAAAAGCACACAACACGACAATAATTGTCGAATAACTAAATAACTTTTCATTCATTCGGTCCCCCAACTTATCGTGGACAGACAGTACATTCTTTAATTAAATAATAATAATTATTTATATTATTATATACATATAAAATAATAAAATATTCGATTAATCGAATAATCGATTTTTACAAAAAAAAAAATAATCGATAATAATCGATTAATCGATTATTTTGCCCACCCCTAGTGCAGAATCGATCTTGTAAGAAGGAAATTTAGTCATTTAGAGAATGTTAACATTCTCTAAATTTATGCTTTTATTCTGTTTCTTATCATTACTTCTGCCAAAGTTACAATTGTAACTTGAACTTACAATTGTAGGTTCAAGTTACAATTGTAACTTGAACCTACAATTGTAAGTTCAAGTTACAATTATAGAATAGAAATTGCAAAAATCAAAGTTAGTTTTGGTCAAAAGTTTTAATTTCACTTGGGCAGATTGTTTTTTACTTTTTTTAGTTTAAAAATTAAAAAAAAATATGTTTGTTTTTTAAGAGATTTTATTGGGTTTTGTCAATAAGAATTTTACCGATAAAATAATCGTCTTTAAAAGGGTGCTTGTTTTTATTAATTTTTTAATTTTCTTACGCACGCAAAACTTATATACCGTAAACAGGAGTGGCTTTGCACCCAGCGGGTGTCTTTAACCTTGTTATAAAAAATGTTTTCGCGCTCGATAAAATTAACAATTATAGTTTGTTGCTTTAAATCTGTCAATGGAGCGATTCCATGGAGTTTATATTACCGGAAAATCTGTGTTTTAATGTAATAAATTGGATTTATTACACTTTTAAATTGTTTATATTGCATCGGTGCTGGACCCTTGGAAACTTTGGTTAATTATAGGTCGATTCTTTATTGTATCAGTAATTCCTAAAAATATCTAGATGTCATTGCTACCATGTGTCCAATAAAAAATAAATAAAATAATTTATCAGTTCCATATGATTTTCGGGTGACTGTCTCATATTTTTTAGTGTTGTTATGACGATTTGTTTGTGTTTATTTGCGGTTTTTGACAATTTATGTCATAAGACAGGTTAGTTTGCATATTTTTTAGTGCATTCAAAATATTGTATTTTTTTATTTAACCTCGTTTTCCGTTTAAAAAAATGCCCTGGAAGTAAAAACGTAAACTTGGATGTAGAAATTACATCAATTACTCAGAGGAAACATTAAGCAACGCTGTTGATCCTGTGAGAAGAAGTAATGTGTCACAAAGAAAAGTCTCGAGTGACTTCGGTGTGCCAGTAGGCACTATAAAAAATAAGTTAAAAGGCAGGCATTTAAAATTACCTGAGGCCCGTTTCACGAAAATTACAAGTTACAAAGTCACAATTTTACTATTACAGGTACTTGTAATAACAAATCTACATGTACAGGTGTTCCGCAAATTTTTTTAACAATACTTAAAATATTTTCACAATTGTAAATATATCTTTACACTTGTGAAAAATATTTTCACAATAATTGTGGAAAAATACACATGTTAGAAAGTAAGGTTAAGCCACTTAATTTTGACGCGTGATTGTAAGTTTTAATTATGTCCTTAAAGAAGGAAGAAAAGATGCAATTTTTGCACGATGTGCTATCTTCGAAGAAAGTTTTGTTTGGGAGTTTCTCAGACAAACTGACTAAGGAGGACAAAGTGAAAGCATGGAAGACCATCCATGAGAAAGCCTTAGCGCTAGGACTTGTGTCAGCTAACAAGGATTTGAGCTACACCAAAGATGTATATTGGCAAAACCTCAAAAAATAAATCGTGGTAAGTACTAATTTGTATAACCTTTATTGTTTAGTTTAACCTATTCAAAGTTATGGTCATCACCCGGCCAGATATTTTTTTCTATAAATACTCCTGATTATTATTAAAATAGGATTCCCATAAAAAAATAGAATTATATATCTGGACACCCAGTGGTGCTCAGTTTAGCGTTTATCTGTAAATTTATCTTCCCAATTGTTATCATTTGTATAAATATATTTTCAGAGAAAAATTGACAACCGTAAAAAAACTGGCAGCGAAGGTGGGCCAGACTGCAAGTTGAATGAAACGGATAATTTAATCATTGATTTCCTTGGACGTGATACCGTACTTGTTAAAGGGCTTTCTTCAAAAGAAACATGGGAAAAAACGACCCCCTCAGTTGACGAAATGGGTCATGAAAATAAAGAAAATGAAATGCCTTCAACACCTGCCTTAGTTAACACTGTTAAGGCAAAGAAGTCGTGTACAAGCGTACCAGCGCATAACGAATCTGAACTGCGAGTAAAGAAACTCTCGTTGGAGATTATGGAAAAAGAATACTACTTAAAAAGCCTGGAAATATTCAAACAAGAAAAGGAGTTAGGGTTGCCTCCCTCACATTTCACCGCCATATTCCATGCTGCGCAACAAGAAATACTCGTGCAAGCAGATACTGAAGTTGAAGGTTTTGATATTGGCATTTGAATTATTCTAATTAAAAACATAATAATTTATACCTACTTATAATTACATATTATTAACTAGCAAAATATTAATTAAAAAAGGGGTTAAAAAGTGGTTTATCTGAAAAAATCTAGTAATGCTTGCAGTCTTCTTGCGCCTGCAGGTTGTGCATCTTCGGCATTTACTTCCCCATTTTCTTCGTTGGCGTCTGCTGCTGGAGGTTAAAGGACACGCCGAACATCATTTTCAGTCCTTGCAATGTTGCAGAGAGTAAAGCAACACTTGATTACTTCACAGGCAAAAAAAAAGTTTACCCGTAGGTAATTAAGACACGGGAATTTTTCCTTTAAAATGCCAAACGAGTTCTCCACAACACGCCTAGTAGACTTGTGAGCACGATTGAATCGAATGACTGCAGGGTCACCAAGATTACGGTTCGTTGGAGGGATCAGCCATTCTTTTAATGGATATGCAGAATCGCCTAGTATAAAGCCATCAGGAATAGGTCTCCAACCATCTTGAAAACGACGATGCAGTGTACTGTTTCTGTAAACTCGGGCATCGTTAACACAGCCTGGCCACTGTGCACTCACGTAATAGAATTTGCAGTCAGGTCCACAAACAGCCATAACATTTAAAGAGTGATCTCCATGTCTATTTACATACTGCTTTTCGTTTTGTAATGGACTATCTATATTAATAAGTGTTCCATCCACACATCCTATGACTAAAGGCATTCTTGCTAATCGGGAAAACCGAATAACCACATTCTGAATGTCATTTGGCCAGTTAACAATTTGTGCAAATTTGATATCATTTACAGCCCTCACAACAGCGTGAACTGATCTACAGACACTTGCTTTTGATATGCCATGCATATTAGCAACTCCATGGTATTGACCTCCATTGCCTAGCCAATGGAGAGCTGCACACAATTGAACTCTTTCTGACAGGGCCTCACTTCTTCTTGTGGCATGTTGAAGTATGTGCCCTATGTCTGCAAGAAGAGATTCCATGCTAACTGATGAAATTCGAAATCTCTCATTGAACTCGTAAAAGGTGACAAAATTTAAATTTGTTCTTAACCTAAACGACCGAGATCTTCGATGACGGCGTGGTTGTTCAAGTAATTCATCTTCAGAGGATGATGATTCCCACATTATAATTTTTAATATTTGACAACACAAATACACAAATAAATTGATTTTACAAACCTCTAGATGTGGGTGAAAATTTTTGCTTATTTTCACCTGCGTAAAGTTGTAACTTGTGACAATACCTAAAACTACAAGAGTAATTCTATAAAAACGTTACTTGTAAGTAGTGAAAATTTGCTGGTTGTTACAAGTCTTGTAACTTTGTCTTTGTGAAACACTAGTACTTCTGATTTATTACAGATTGGTTAAATTCTACTTTGTAACTTGTTACTTTTGTGAAACGGGCCCCTGGTCGTCAACCTGTATTGAGTAAAATTGAAGAAGAAGGTTTTTCAAATCATATCTGGACATTATCATCTTATGGTTTTATTGAAGGGGATGGATTTGAGATATTTGGTCAAATATTTTTTAGACCTTGAAGGGTGTACAATAAAGAACTTTAAGGATAACCTGCCACAAAGGGATTGGCTCTGTGGGTTTCTCAAAAGGAACCCAAGGGTAACACAGCGGTTTGCAAGCAATATTAAACGTTCAAGAGCCGAAGTAGATGATGAAACCATAACAAGTTATTTTGACCATTTAAACATTGAATTTGAGAATATTCCCCCTGAGAACATTTGGAATTACGACGAAACAAATTTGTCAGATGAAGTATTGACAAAGCGAAAGAATGATAAATTCCAGTAAATCAGTGTAGACTTTAGTTGGAACGTGGAACTTGAAATAATACTTTTATATTCCAACTTTTATTATTAAAAGTTTTAATTACAGCAAATTAACAAACTGTTTTTATTTATTATTTTTACTGTGACAATATTTATAAAATACAAAATAAGATTTAATTGTCAAAACCCAACAATCAGCTACGTCCATAATGTTTTGTGGGAATAGTGCAGGCCGCATGTTACCAGCATATGTGGTTTACATCCTTAGTTTTGCCAATTCTACGGAAAATTCCTGGACCAAATTCCTCATTGGTGATAATCTGTCTTCACACGTCTCAATTAATGTGGCTGATACTTGTGAGCAGAAAAACATTAAATTTATTAGTCTACCTCCCAATTCCTCGCATTTGACTCGTTGCATATTTTCGGCCCATGAAAATAACTTGGCGAAAAATTTTGCTCGAATACAAAATACAAAACCCAAAAGTCGGTGTACTGCCTAAAAGTATGTTTCCTAAACTTCTTAAACAATTAGTTGATACTGTTATGGTTAAAGGAAGTATAAACTTAGAGAGTGGATTCCAAAAAACAGGCATATTTCCTTTAAATAAAGAAAAGGTATTAGAAAGGCTTCCTGATTATAAAAATGCAAAAAATCCCAATGAAGTTTCTGTTTTGAATTTTCTGATAGAAAAGAGGAGGCCGCCAACCGAAGTGTCGAAAAGACGCAACAATAAAATTGAAGTGATTCCTGGTAAAAGCATTAGTGCAGAATTTCTGAGAGAACAATTACGAGATACTGAAAAGAAGACGGAAGAGGCTGCAGCTAAGAAGTCGACTGAAAAGGCGGATAAAAAGGAGGCAACAACGAAGAAGAATGCAGCTAAGAGAAAAGCCACAGCCATGAAGAATATTGCAGCTGAGGTTAAAAAAAAGCACCCAATAAAAAAATTATAAATTCAAGAGCCGAAGTAGATGATGAAACCATAACAAGTTACTTTGACCATTTAAACATTGAATTTGAGAATATTCCCACTGAGAACATTTGGAATTACGACGAAACAAATTTGTCAGATGACCCAGGAAGAAAAAAAGTATTGACAAAGCGAAAGAATGCTAAATTCCAGTAAATCAGTATAGACTTTAGTTGGAACGTGGAACTTAAAATAATACTTTTATATATCTGATTCCAACTTTTATTAATAAAAGTTTTAATTACAGCAAATTAACAAACTGTTTTTATTTATTATTTTTACTATGACAATATAAATAAGAACTACTTGATATTTATAAAATACAAAATAAGATTTAATTGTCAAAACCCAACAATCAGCTACGTCCATAATGTTTTGTAGGAATAGTGCAGGCCGCATGTTCCACCATATGTGATCTATAAGTCAGACAAACTTTGGTCTACTTGGGTGGAAAATGGTCCTGCTGGTGCCCGTTACAATAGGTCCAAAAGTGGATGGTTTGATTCAGTATGTTTCGAGGACTGGTTTACATCCTTAGTTTTGCCAATTCTACGGAAAATTCCTGGACCAAATTCCTCATTGGTGATAATCTGTCTTCGCACGTCTCAATTAATGTGGCTGATACTTGTGAGCAGAAAAACATTAAATTTATTAGTCTGCCTCCCAATTCCTTGCATTTGACTCAGCCATTGAACGTTGCATATTTTCGGTCCATGAAAATAACTTGGCAAAAAATTTTGCTCGAATACAAAACACAAAACCCACCTAACTGCCTAAAAGTATGTTTCCCAAACTTCTTAAACAATTAGTTGATACTGTTATGGATAATTATGGATAAAGGAAGTATAAACTTAGAGAGTGGATTCCAAAAAACAGGCATATTTTATTTAAATAAAAAAAAGATATTAGAAAGGCTTCTTGATTATAAAAATGTTTTGAATTTTCTGATAGAAAAGATGAGGCCGCCAACCGAAGTGTCGAAAAGACGCAACAGGAAAATTGTAGTGATTCCTGGTAAAAGCATTAGTGCAGAATTTCTGAGAGAACAATTACGAGATACTGAAAAGAAGAAGGAAGAGGCTACAGCTAAGAAGTCGACTGAAAAGGCGGCTAAAAAGGAGGCAACAACGAAGAAGAATGCAGCTAAGAGAAAAGCCACAGCCATGAAGAATATTGCAGCTGAGGTTAAAAAAGCACCAAATCAAGAAACTAGTAAGGATAATGAGAATGTAAATGTGAAGGAATTAGAACAAGTTGGTTGCATGGTGGAGGTCATGCAGAAGGGAAATGTTACCAATGCACGCAATAATAAAACAGAAGCTTGTTGTAGTGGATTGACTGACAGGAAAAAACTAAGCAGAAAAACAAGGTTTGAAAGAAGTTTGAAAGTGAGCCAAAGCCACCCGTGTTTACGGTACCTATATTTTTGTCAATAAAAGGTTTACCCATGGAATAATCGTCTTCAATAGGGTGGTTAGGCTGGGTGGTTGGGTGCTTGGGTTGGTTAAATTTTTAGTTTCGTTCAGATGTATGCACGCAAAACTTTTTATTAAAAATAAAAAACAGGGGTCGACAGTGCACCAATTTTTTAAGCTTTGTCTGGATAGTGCAGTAGACATTCCTATTTTTTAATGGAGGTAAATTTACAAAAAATGTCAAGCATTTTTTTAACATGCCCAAGGTTTTATATACAGGTCTTGCGACTTAGCCCAGTTTCAATAGAAATAGTGACTTCACTATTAAGGCAAACATCACGTGGTGCTGCGAGACAGGTGAACACTTTTATTAGGATGACCACAGTACTTTTGAACTACTATTTAAATATGGAACTACTACTACATAAATATAATCTATATTTTTTAAATCGTAACGTATGTATACTTAGCAGTTGGAATATTCCCAGGTATAAATACCACTTTATTACTCAGAAAATTCTAATTTAAAATTTATTAAAGTAAAAGAGTGGACCATTTTATGGAGTGGACGCGCAGCGTCTATTGTATTGTATTGTTAGTAAAGTGTACCAGCAGTGATCCAAAATGCCATTGTTAAGCGACGTCAATGTTACAATTTTGTTTTATGGTTTTGCTTTTTGCTATTAAAAAATTCATATTATGAATATAAATATGTATTTAAAAGTCAGGAAGGATTTAAACCTGTATTTATTTTCTGAATTGTATTTAGTTTCCTTGCTTAAACCATACGACTGCAAAAGTACAAATGTTTAAGTTAAGTTAAAGAATTTGTGTTTCCCAAAATACATTCGAGATGGCTTGAATACATTTAAATTTTGCTTCTAGTTGTTTACTCGTTGTATAATATAACTTTATATATATACATATATAAGTTTCTTTAGCAATTTATTAATTTTAATTAAGCGGTTAGAAGATTGTGTGATTTTCTGGTAATAAAAGGTAAGGAGGCAAAATGCAAATAATTTTAGATATTATTATAAATTTTCCATTAAATTTTGATCCATAAAAACATATTTAACATTATTAATAACTACGAAACATTATTTTTATAAACTAGAATAAAAAATTAATCCAACGATGTTGTAATAACAGACTGACAAAATAATATTTTCTATTTGCAGCAGGGTAGCCACTCACGTTTGAAGTGAGACTTCTTTAGTGATGTAAGTCCGGAAAATTGATGCAGATCGATGCATTTTGCAGTTGACGGATCCGCGTCAACTTGGAGTTGTACCCTAAGGATAAAGGATGAGAAAAACACTGTCTGGGATTTTCGCATTGTATGCTTTAACTACTTAGGAGCCCAAGAACTTGTCTCCATCTATTTTCGATATAAATAAGGCTGGGGTATAGCTGTACCCCAAGTAGCATTCTAGGTTTAATAGCTTTTATTAAATGATCATTGTATAATATACTAATCGAACGTTGCCAGTCAAGATGTGTTGCAACGCGCTCACTGACCAACAGTTGGTTGGAATGCTTCTTTTCAAAACCAATTTGTGACCTTAATAATTGACCTAAAGCTTTGTTTTTTCATTTTATTTAGAAATAAATTGGCTTTATATTGGTATCAAAAAACATAATGTATGTTTATTATATTTTGTTTTATAAGGCGTTACTTCAATTACATTTTTTTTGTTACACTTTTAAGAAAAATAATCATTTTGATCTTATTAATAAACATAAAGACTTGTTTTTTAATTTTATTTATTAATAATTAAATAGGCTGCTGTGAAAAATACAAAAAT